AAAAAAAAAAAAAAAAAAAGAGAGACTATTTTGACCCACTTTTTTTTTTTCTCCATGTTTTATGCTGGTTTAAAAGCCTCCAGGTGAAAACAAGAGGCAGCAACGTGTATATGGCAAACGGAGGGGAAAAAAAAATGAAAAAGACAAAAAAAATATAAAAAGGAACAGTTTTTTTGGGAAAAAAAAACTGCAATAATTTTTAGGGGGGGAAGGACGGGGGGGGAGGGGTCCTGTCAATTCCTGTAGATAAAATTTTCTGATTAAATATTAAATAAAATTAAGCAGTTGGTTCTTTCTGCTTCGATCGTGTTTAACAGCTGAGGTAGCGTAAACTATTTAAGATAACAATGATAATAATAATAAAATAATAATAATAACTGAATCCTCTGCTGGGAGATAGCATTTTTATTTTATTTCCTCTTTTTTTTTTTCTTGCCCGGCTCCAGCCCGCGCGCTGCCCGTTGCTCTGATCTGGGGATTTCGGGCCACTTTTTTGGCCACTAAAAATGATGATTTTGAGTGGTGGGAAGTGGCGGAAATGGTGGCRCCATCGAAAATGGCGATGGGCGGGTGGGGAACATGGTGATTTGGGCAACAGGCCTCGCGGAGGGAGGAAAGGAGAAGGAAAATGAGAAGAAAATGGGGAAAAGGGCCGAGGGCGGCTCTGTGCCGCTGTGGGGAGCCATTTTCCTCACGGGCGGTTTCCAACGTGGCGGCGGCGGCACAAGATGGCGGCGTCACAGGATGGAGTCATCGGCGTTGTGGGAGGCGTCATCGGCGTCACGGGATGGTTTCGGCGTCACAAGGTGGTGTTGGCGTTGCAGGATGGCGTCGCTGTCATGGCATGGTGGTGTCGCAAGATGGCGGCATCGGCGTCACGGCATGGTGGCGTCGCAAAGATGGCGGTGTCAGCATCAGGGGATGTCATTAGTGTCACAAGATGGCGTCACTGGAAGATGGTGGCGTCGGCATCACAAGACAGCAGTGTCACCAGCATGGGACGGCATCGGCGTCTCAAGATGGCGGCATCATCGTCACAGCATGGCGTCGGTGTCACGGGATGACGTCGTCAGTAGATAGTGGAGTCGGCGTCTCAAGATGGCAGCGTTGCCATCGCGGGCTGGCATCGTCGTCTCAAGATGGCGTTGCGGTCATGGGAAGGCGGTGTCGTAAGATGGCGTCGTTGCCATGGAATGCCAGCAGCGTTGCAAGATGGCGGCATCGGCATCAGGGGATGGCGTCGGTGTCACGGGATGGCAGAGTCGGAAGATGGTGGCATCGGCATCGCGGGATGGCTCGTCGTCTCAAGATGGCGTTGCTGTTGCAGGATGGTGGCGTTGGAAGATGGCGGAGTCGGYGTCTCAAGATGGCAGCGTTGCCATCGCAGGCTGGCATCATCATCTCAAGATGGCGTTGCTGTCATGGGATGGTGGCGTCGCAAGATGGCGTTGCCGTTGTGGGATGGCAGTGGCATCGCAAGATGGTGTCATCGTCATTGGGGATGGCATCAGTGTCACGGGATGGCGGCGCCAGAAGATGGTGGCATCGGCATCGCGGGATGGCTCGTTGTCTCAAGATGGCGTCGCTGTTGCAGGATGGCGGYGTTGGAAGATGGTGGCGTCAGCGTCTCAAGATGGCAGCGTCACCATCGCAGAATGGCATCATTGTTTCAAGATGGTGTCGCTGTCACGAGATGGTGGCGTCGCAAGATGATGGCGTTGGCATCGGGGGACGGTGGCGTCATGGGATGGTGGCGTTGGAAGATGGTGGCGTCAGCATTGCAAGATGGCAGCGTCGCCATCGCGGGATGGCGTCGTCGTCTCAAGATGGTGGTGTTGGCGTTGCAAGATGGTGGTGTCACGGGATGGTGTTGCTGTCACAGGATGGCGTCACTGTCGCAGCAAGGCATCGTTGAGGGATGGTGTCACCGTCGTGGGATGGCGTCGCCATCGCAGGAAGGTGTCACCGTTGTGGGATGGTGCCATCGYATGGCGGCACCATCACAGGATGGCATCGCCATTGTGGGTGGCGTCATCCCAGGTGGCATGTCCATCGCAGGATGGTGTCACCATCGCGGAAGCCGTTACCAGCGTGGGTGGCATCACTGTTGTGGGATGGCACCATCGCAAGATAGTGTCACTGTCACGGGATAGCATTGCTGTYGCAGGATGGTGTCACTGTCTCGGGATAGCGTCACTGTCACCATCACCATAGTGTCACCGTCGTGGGACGTCATCACTGTCTCAGGATGGTATCACCTTTGCAGGATGGCGGTGTCGCGGGATGCTGYGTCCGTTGCAGGACTGTGTCACCATCTCAGGATGTCATCGCCATCTCAAGATGGTGGTGTGGTGGGACGCCGTGTCCGTCTTGGGATGGTGTCACTGTCACGGGATGGCGTCTCCGTCACGGGATGGCGTCACTGTCTCGGGGTGTCATTGCCGTCGTGGGATGCTGTATCCAACGCAGGATGGTGTCACCGTCACRGGATGGCGTCTCCGTCACAGGATGGCGTCCCCCTCTTGGGATGTCCGTGTGGTGGGATGCCGTGTCCATCATGGGATGTTGTGTCTGTTGCAGGATGCCGTCCCCGTCTTGGGATGGCGTCCCCTCT